CTCTCCCTCTCCTCCTCCCTCTCTCCTTCATTCTTGTTCTTTTGTTTTACAAATGAATTGTATCCATTTTCTGGACTTCTCCATAATGAAATGGCTTAGACCCCTATTGATAGACATTTTAAATTGTTCAAAATTGTGTTCTATTATATCTAGCTCTGCAGGGAACACCCTTGTACCTGCATCAATTTGCCTATGTATGATTATATTTGTAGGCTACTTTTCTAGAATGAAATTGCTGAGTTTAAGAAAATGTGCTTTTGTCATTTTTTTGTTTCAAGTCACTAAATTGACCTTCACAAAATACTGTGTCATTTATACGCCCACCATGAATGTACATGCTTGCCTATTTCTTTGCATTTTGGCTAATACCATGTGATAATTTCCTTCTGCTTTTTGCTGATGTGAAAGGTGAATTATAGTACCTTGGGGTAGATTTAGTTTAATTCATATTATAAGTAAGATTGAGTATCTTTATATGAGTTTAAGAATCATAGGTATTTCCTAAGATGTCAACTAATGAAATCCTTTGCCCATTTTTTTCTCTTGGGTTGCTTGTGTTTTAACTATTAATATGTGAGATCGTATTTCTTTGATTAATGATTCTGTACTATGATATGATTTAGAAAATACTAATCCCAGTTAATCATTTGTATTTTGACTTTATTTTGCTTTTTATTTTAAGGAAAAATTTAGTTTAATATAATAATGTTTTGAAAACTAGTGCCATGATTGGAATGTAATTTTTATCTCTGAGATTATTTTTAATTCTCTGTTTCCTCTGGTCCTTTGTGGTTTCTTTCTTTCCTTCCTTCCTCTTCTTCTTTTGAGTGTGTAATTTACCTTGAATTTACTCTCGGATAAGAAGACAGACATTGATCTAAATTTATTTAAGATGTCTACCGAATTGTCCCAGTCCAGTTATTGAATATTCTATCTCTTCTCCACAGATTTGAATGCCACTTAATTCGTATACAAAATTCCTTTACATAGAGGGGTCTATTTATTGATTTTCTATTCTGTTTTATTGTTTGGTCTGCCTCTGTATGTGCCAGTATCGTCCTATTTTAATTACTTATATTTTCCCTTGATAATTGCTAGTATAGATTAAGTATATGCTGATCTTATATTAAACAAACTTGCAGGATTTGTAAGTTAGCTTTTACTATTTGTTACTTTTGAATTTTCAAAGTCACTTGTTATATCATTTGCCAATGTGGGCAATATCATTATCCCATCCCATTGCCTTTTGGAAAGTTTTTCATAATCTGTCTTTCTGCTTACTAGTTTATGCTTCAGCTGAGCCTCTTTGCTTTAATTCTCTTCACTGGGAGCTTTATTTTGCTTAATTTTGAACTTCATTTAACTTTAATTATATTTTTCATTCTCATTATTTCTAATGAGTTCTTATTTATATGCTTGTTTCTGTCTTATGTTTCAAAAACTCCTTTATCTTTTTAGGGATATTTAATTTTTTTGAAGTCTTAGCCTGCCAGTTCTATTACATTAGTTTTTTCTGATATTACTTCTTTTTCCTTCTCCTTCCTCCTAATTTTGACACTAGCATTCCTCAGGTAGTTTGTTATTAATATCTTGGCTAGAGATGTATCTGGAGGGAAAGGTGAAGCTGATGCCCTAGCTTCAGTGACTTCAGGTGGATGGAGCTGTACTCAGCCATAATCTCTCTTCTCCCAGTGGAAGACCTGGTCTGCCCTAGACACTGCTTTCACCAAGACCTCCATCTCTCTGTTTTACCTCCTTAGTTCATAGACTGGGAATGTAGAGTGCAGACGGTGAAAGGCTCAGATCTGTTAGTCACTACAGGCCCCCTATTCCAGCCTGGCCCTCATTTCACCACTGCCTCCCACTGACTGTGGGCTGGAACTGTGTAAATCAGGAAAGAACTAGGCAAGCAAAATGAGAATGAGAAATGGCACATCTAGAAAGCTCTTCCCAAGCTTGTTTTCATCATCATTGGCCCTTGGAGTTCCCCTCCACACATCCAGACATACAAACATGCACTGGGTCTCAAAAACCCCTGTTCTGCTAAGGGTTTCCCATGGTTCTTTTGTGATGGAGTTCAGTTAGCGTACCAAACTCAGCAACTTTCTGTCCTGGAATATCTCCAGTGCTAGATTCAGGGGTGAGAGCCAGTAGGCCATACTAGTTTGCTTTCTTGTCAGAAGCCCATTAATTTTCTCTTTCCCCTCACATTGAATCGAATGATAAGATTTACACACACACATGCATGCATGCACACACACACACTCTCTCTCTCTCTTAAATGTAATAGTCCTAAATGTCTTATTAATGCATAGCTTTGGAAGTTATTTTCGAAGCTTTTTTCATGTGGTAATTATGATCATCAGCTCTTAAATATAAGGATAGAAAACAGAAAAAGAATGCTTCTTTTCAGCTAAAAAAAGAACAACAGAAACTAAAAACCCAAAAAGCAAATGTTCTAAGAATTTTCTAGGTGGCAGGTGCTATTAAATTTCTACATTCATTGTATCATATAATTTTTACATGATGTAATAGTTATTTTAAAATTCCTTTTATTAGGGAGGAAATTAAATTTCAGAAAGCTTAGACAAAATTGTCCGAGATTATATTGGTGGGAAGTGACAAAAGCCAGGATTGAAAGCCTCAATCCTTTTCTGCCTGGTCTTTACCTGGGTTCTAGGCATCCAGGTTACATTTCTTAATATTTATGCTAATGCAAGGGAAACAGTTCACATAGAACACCTTAGAACACACTTGTTTTTTAAGGCCATACACTATACCTACCCCCAGTGGAACAATAATTTCTCTTAAACCAGAGAAATAAATGAAAATATTTTATTGCATATCCAAACATCCATCAACGTCACAGGGAGTAATTTGGAATTTCTCCTGTAGTCCTCTTTAGTAGGCCTTTAACAATGTCTGGGGTGATTGATGCAAGCAGAATGAACAGAATAAAAGGCAAATCACATTGTAGCCAATGTTATTTTATGATAAGATCAAAATAATGTTGGGGTGGGATGAGGGGAGATAACTTGCAGCATGTTTAATGGTAGAGATGTTTCAAAAATCATGTGATGGCTTTCTTCGAAGGCTTAGTTTTTTTCTCACAATAATACAGATTTCTGGTATTAAATTTGAGTATGACCATGATGTTGAAATCGTAGCCCTTTTACATACGAATTCCTTATTATTCTAAGCTTAATAGCGCCAGATGCAGGAGAACTCGTAAAGTCTAAAGCCCAGTAATTGTGAATAATCCCAGAACCAGTATTCTATGAATCACTTTGTGGTTTTTATTTTTCATTGGATGAAAACAGCACTGATATTTGATTACAAATACTTAACTAAAAGTAGATGCAGCCCAAGTTAGGTGCTGCTTTACTCTCTGGAGTGACAGTTCCCTGAGATGTATGTTCAGAGCTTGTAAATATTAGAGCAAATAGAAATCTTTTAAAACATCATTTGTGATGATTTAGAGAGAAACATACTCAGATTTTTGTTTTTTGATTGTGATACAGTTTAAGCTTTAGAAAATTAGTCTACAGCTCATCAGCTAAAACTGGAGGAGAGATAATTTAGCCATCTACGAGAAGTATAAACAAGATAATTGAAACAAGATAAAAGATAATTGAAAAAGGAGTGTTTAGCAGTATCAAATATGGAATCTGGCTTCCAAAATGGGAGGAAACATGATTCATAGTGTCCACTGATTACGTTATATACATATGTGTATCTATATATGAATACCCACACATATATATTTGTAAGGTTTTGACTATGAAGAGTCTCAGTTTGAAAAAAGAAAAAGAATGCCATACACAAGACAGTGGGAGAATATTGCTCTTTCCTGGCAGTGTGCTAATTTACTTAACATAGTAAAATAAAGTCTCTTTTGGAGGTTACTGATGCCACATCCCACAGTTAAAATTCCAAACTCATTCTTTAGAGAACTAAATAAAAGAGAAATAAGTAAAATTTACTTTCATAGAAGAATATTCTTTTACTTGAGCCTCCAGACAAGAATGGAACATGAAACGTATCCCTGCTGGTGATTTTGACATCTAAGTATTGAAATGAGAGCAGCAGAATTGGATATATGAGTCAGCTCTCTTGGTACTGGACCACTGACCCCAAATTTAAAAACAACAATGTTGTTTGTGGGTTTTCACTACAACCTACATGGGCATGCTCGTCAGTCAGAGGCTGGGACTGTTCACCCCAGTTCTTTAACTCATCCAAATCCCAGATTTTCCTTATAAACAAGGAAGACAGAGCATCACTTGGTGAGCACTAGCTGGAGAGGAGCCATGGAGAGGGAAGATGAGACTTTGGGAAACATATGATTTGGAGTGGGGAGAAAATATGGAAACAAAAATACCAGTTAGAACGTCTCCATATAGTGAATGAGAAGTGTCTGGTGAGGAGTCCTACATGACAGTGTGTACTCACACAGTCCATAGCAGAGACTACAGTATAAAGATTCAGAAACTGAAGATACTTTGTTTTGTATTTTGCCATCATTGTTGTCTTTACTTTTTCTTACTCTAGTGCTCAAAGATCTTAAAGAGATTTGCATGTTTTATTTCAATGGAAATTTCTTGGCATCTAAAGCCAGTTTGAGATACAATAACAGTTATGTTAACATTAGAGTTTCATAGTAATGTTATTGAGGTTATTTTAATAAGATAATATTCTCATTTTTCACTTTGGTAAGTCACACTTCCATATCACAATCAACCAAATGCTTTTTTAATCCTTATGTTTTTTGGAACACATTGCCCTTTTCAAAGCTTGTTCACAAATGCTGCTTAACTTTAAAAAAAAAAAGTATACCATTAGAGAAAGACATTTTGAAGCTAAGCTGGATATATGCTTATTTTGTATTATTTTAAATCTATGCTAATAAATAAAAAATGTTCCACTTTCAAATTTAATATCATCAACATTGTTATCCTGAAAGAAATGAGATTATAGTTCATTATGCCTTGTCTCCTCAGATAAATTTACAAAGAAAAATGAGAGTTACTGGTGTTATTACCCAAGGAGCCAAGAGGATTGGAAGCCCAGAATATATAAAATCCTACAAAATTGCCTATAGTAATGATGGAAAGACTTGGGCAATGTACAAAGTGAAAGGCACCAGTGAAGACGTGGTAAGGCTGACATGATATACTTCATTTAAAAATAAACTCCCATTAATAGTCGTTGATTACTAAATGGCTACTGAGTCTTCAGCAGAAGCCTTAAGTTGTTGAAAATAAATTTATGATTTTTTTAATTGGACTAGTAGTGTGAAGAGGATAAGAAATTATCCCAAATTATAAATGTACAGTATCTACCATTTAAGACTTTCTCAAATTTTCATCAGTGGTCCTTTAAATACTTTATCGCAAGGTTAGCATGGTCCTGTGTATGACAATTAAGTTTTGTTTCAACAGTAGTCAGCTTTCAATTTCATTTTACTGCTTTGGCAGATCATCACTCTCCTTAATCAAATAACTGCAGATCAGTACTATTATTTTTAAAGAAAAAATACGATTTTTAAAGAAAAATACCTTTATGGAAAAGATTTATATCTTAATATACTTCATATTGGAAGAAAATTTTGTTATTTAACAGAAGAAAATATTTAGAAGAAATGGATATAATATTCAGTATCTCCTTTGTCTTTCATAAGGTAGTCTCAATTTTTAAATCAATTTTACTCAACATTATTAATTTTTAAAAATACCAGGACTATAGCTTATTCCATTTAAAACTAGTCATTAGACTAGACTAATAAAAGAAAGATTTTATGAAAGATTTTAAAAATTACCTTCTTAAATTAAACCTATGTAGGTTTTCTGATTACCAGTTTATATAGAGGGTAAAATGAAAATGAGATTTAAAAGAATTAAAAATAACACATTTTAGCACTTAAGTTTTAGAGGGAAATTAGCTTTTCACTGGAGATATATATATATAAAGAATTACGAGTCTCTTATCTAGTGACCTGAAACTGACTAATAAGGAACGAATCTTGGGGAATCAGACCCTAAAATGTCATAAATCTGATCACAGCGTGAGAGAAACCCAGTGATCAGGAAGCAGTAGTGAAGACTAGTTCTAACAAAAACAAACAAAAACTATAACTACCAAGTAGCAAAATGATCAGGCAGACCCAGACCCCAAATTAAGTTGAAAGATTTAAGGTGCCCATTTCTCAAAAAAAAAAAAAAAAAAGAAAAGAAAGAAGCATTCCCTGGCTCTGAAGGACTGGCCTTAAATTGACAAGACCATCGTAGTAGGGTGGAGATTGAACCATAGGTCACAGTGATATTATAGCTTTAATTAGGATTTTATCTGTAGGTTTTATGTTCACAGCTGATGGCAAGGTGCATCTGAAATGCTCCAGGCCCCTAAATTATTTAATCCAGTTTTTGAAAGATTATGTTGAGTAGTATATAGAGTCACTGTATGAAAACAGGTTTCTTTAAACAAATCTATTGCAATTAATTTTTAAAATTTTTTATATTATTATTATTATTATTATTATTTTAGTGGAGGTACTGGGGATTGAACCCAGGATCTCATGCATGCTAAGGATGTGCTCTACCACTGAGGTATACCCACCCCGGCAATTAAAATTTTTAAATTCTGTATTATTTTTTTACACAGGTGTTCCGTGGAAATGTTGATAACAACACACCCTACGCTAACTCTTTCACACCCCCCATCAAAGCTCAGTATGTAAGACTCTATCCCCAAGTTTGTCGAAGACACTGCACTTTGAGAATGGAACTTCTTGGATGTGAGCTGTCAGGTGAGTCTCATATTATCTATTCCTGTACCCTCTTTAAAGGGGGAAAAAAAGCGTATTTGTTGGTGGTCTGCTTTTAACTTGCAATTTTTCGACACCATAGATAATCATTACTGCTTCAGAATATCCGGGCTTGGTTCAATGAGAAAGCAAGAAAGAGAATGTGTGTGTACAGGATAAATAAGTTCTAAAACACACTACAGGATAGAATTAATGTAGAAGGGGCAGTGTATTTCTTTGAATGGTTGAAGAAAGTGCGACAAATGTTCACTCTGAAAACTTTTGTCAAATTTAAATGTGTTTCTTGATTTTAATAGTAACTATGATTTATGGTTTGTGACAGGATTTCAGTAAAAACTGGAGTCTGCCTGACCTCACAAATTGCAGTTATGTTTAGGGTTACAGTATAGAAAAGTAAGCTTTATCTTTGTCCAGCTACCATGAGAATTTGGTTTTGTCCTTTTTGGGGGGTTGTATGAAACATGCAAACTTAACATTCCTTCCAAGGAGATGGTAGATCTCAGATTGCTACTCTAAATTCATTCTTAGATCATTCTTATCTAGTAACCTGCTTATTGTACAAACAGTGATTATGGAACACAAAGATAATCTATCCAAGGACTCAAAGTTAAATAATCCTTGTCTTCCAGGAGCATCAGGACTAGATACAAAGGTGTAGTAGACCTTATGTGCAGATCTCACAGTGGTTCACTTTCAGTGTAGCTAGGTTCTCAACTAAGCAGACAGTCTCGTCTAGGTGTTTCACTGTGTTATATTTTTGATGGTAGTTCTTATAGTTCTAACATCAACATTTATCTTTGCCCCTATTGCCTGAAATTCTGTTCAGACGAGTGTGTTTTTAAGAAAACAAAAAATTCACGTGTGCCCTACTTTTTAGCATCACCTCCAAGTCTGAGAGACTTTTGTCACATTTACAATAATACCATTTAGTTAAAAATAGGAGAAAACATCCCTGCAAAGAGAGAACAGAGAGCTTTATATTCATTTCAAAAGGTTGCATGTGGGTTAAAATGCATACTTCAAATCTATTCCCTTCTTAGGTTTATTTGTGATGTCAAGAAAGGGAGTGATTTTTAAGGAAATAGAAGTTACTAGCAGAAAACAACCAAACCTTAAATGAACGCACTACATTCAGTGGAATGAAAAACATTTGGGCAGATGAGTGAATCTATTTTAAGAATCACATTTTCATATTATATATGGGTGTCTTTTAGGAAGCAATCAAACATACAGTTTTAGTACCATTAATTATCCTAATAGGGATGTTTTCCTTATTTTGGTAATTCAGACTTATTGACTACCAGTAAATCTCAGCAGAATGATTGCTCTAGAGTGTTTATATTGTGTGTCACCATATCATCGCAGGCCAGTGTCATCCCTCAGTCATTCATCATAAAGCAATCGAGGGGAAGCCATAATATGTTGAGGTTTGCTGCAAGCCCCATGGATTTTAGTTGCTTAATATTACCTTCCCCAGTTTTTCAGTCTTTCGATTCATGAGGGCCAGTCTCTTAGACATGACACAGTTACACCCCTAAGATAGGAATATATTTTATTTTCAAGTTTGACAAGAGGTTACAACTGACACTTTACAGATTTTTATGTTTTTAAAAAGAAGCCATACCCCACCTCCCAACCCCACCAACTGATTTTGAATATGCATGCAGAGAATAATATCTCTTGATGAATGCTTTTAAAAGCTAGGGTACCTCACTATAGAAATAATCACCTATGCTGGTAATGCTTCATCTTGTTCAGGTGCTGTCCATGCTGGTAAAAGAGTCAATTTAGACATACGAAGTCATACAGATAAGAAGGGGAATTCGTGATGTGAGGCAAATTGGCGAGCAAGTTCACTATAACACTTGGAAATAAACAGTAATATAATGCACCAAACTATTTCCCACAATCCAGTGCAGCACTGTAAAGCCCAAGGCTGCCTTATTGTGTTCAATAAACTGTTACAAGATCTCTCAGCCTGCCTAGAAGATCAGCAGTAAAGCTTGTCTCAGACACTTAAAAAGAAAAACCCCTAAATTCTCTGAAAGAGATATGATTTAAGATGTTCAGAATGAAATGAATCATGACTACAATTAGTAGAGGAATAATCATTCATTCTTTAAACAAAGAATACAGCACTTTTTCTGGGCTAAGTACTAGACAACGGAGCGAGCAATGAAATGAATCTGTAACAAAGCAGAAATGGTCAAAGTAAAGGTATCCCTCTTCTATTCAGTACTTCAGATACTATGCTCTATCACAAAAAGAGAAAAACGACTACCTTTCCTTTTCCCTTGTGTCTCTTCTGCAAGCCAAGCAATTTTACAGAGACTTTGGTAGCAAGTCGGGTGGAGATGGGGGGTTGCTGGTGGGAATAGAAGAACTGGTCAGAAATCCATAATACAGACAAATCATGTTATCTTAGAACTGCTTGAAGATAAATAGCATGTTGTTAAGATCTTAGAACTTTCTAGAATCTTTGAGATCTGTCATGAAATATTTCTTTTCCAGAATTTATATTTAGGATTTAGAACTGTTTTCATCATTGGACTCAGAATACAGGTCTCCTATGATCCTACAGCCCAAAAAGACTTGAGTTAAGACATCCAATTGGCTAACCCTCTGGGTCCATTTTTGTCATGTTTGCATAGGAGTTTGTTAGAAGGTGGGGGTGAAGACAAACATGGAGGAGCCTCAAGAAGGAACCCTGGATCTAGACTGATTAGGAAAGAAAGCAAGTAATTATAGTTAAGAATTCATTTTATCAGTGAAGAGTCTAAACCACCTCTCTTAGAGCCTAGACTTAAGATGGTCTAGTTTTAGAAACTACAACCAGTCAGAGGATATTCTTTAGTACTCTGATCTGGGGACTTAATGTTGTCATCTGTTGTAATGAGCTTTATGGAAATAATAAAGATAGCTAACATTTACTGAATGCTAGCTATATACCAGCACTGTTTCTAAATACTTTATTAACTTACTTCTTAGAACAATTCTTTAAGACAATTTTTATTATTATTTCCATTTCACAGATGAGAAGACTGAGGCACTGAATGGTTAAATAATGGGTACAAGGTCACACAGCTAGTGAGTAGGGGACCAAGAGAGTGTGAGGTGACATTGATTAGAGAAGTCTCCTCTTTTATCCTAACTTTCTTGATGCACAAACTTACCCTGTGTGTTCCTTGGCCAAAATGTAAAAGTTTACATATAGAAGGCTCAATCACTGGTTAATATGGTAGTAGAATCATGCTGCCTGTTACAAGCTTTGTGAATATAATTTTGTCACAGTTGCAATTCAACATTGGGAAATACTGTGTATATATACACACTCACACATGAGATTTTTCAAGGACAAGGACAAACAAACCTAAATTTTGTACCATGTCAAACCTGGATTTGAGAATCCTCAAAAAATATCCAATACTAGAGGTTATTGAGAATGATTGAAACATAAAAATTTATAAAAAGGCTTGTCCACTAATGGTTTTTGCTAGAATTAGCTTTCTTAAAATCTCATCTACTAGTTTAAATTCTACACTTGTACAATGCTGGGCACATGATATACATGGAATAAATATGAGCTTCCTACCTTCCAGAAGAAGCTGTGGTGATACTGTAAGAATCAAAGATAATGATGAACAGATTTCTTAGAAAACAAAATGCTGTCCAGTTAAGAATATACCATTGGAGCATTTTGTGAAATAGACTTTGTACTGAGGGAATTTTCATTTGCAGTATTATAGAAACAAATAAAAGACAACCAAATATACTTTGCGAGAAGAATGTTCCAGTTTTAAAGACACAATGAAACCACTGAAAACCAGGAAACAGTCATGAGGCTATCAGTAATGAGACAGGAGAGAGCATTTCAGCATTGTTTTCATTTTGCAAAATCATCTATCACAGAAAAGTAGTTTGAATGGTCCGTCTTGTTTTCAATTTTTCCAAAATATATTCAGACAAAATAGCTTGAATTGGCTATCTTGTCTTTCGATTTTGTTGCAGATTTATTTCTGATTATAGCCTTTTTTTGAATTTAGATGCTCTCTCTTTTGGGGAATGAATAGCATTATGCTTAATCTTCTCTTGCCTGTCCAAAATGAATGCAGAAACCTTCCACGGTGATAAATTATTTTTCTCATAGAGCCCTTCTTGTTTTCTCCCAGGCTGTTCTGAGCCTCTGGGGATGAAATCAGGACATATACAAGACTATCAGATCACTGCCTCCAGCATCTTCAGAACTCTCAATATGGACATGTTCACTTGGGAACCGAGGAAAGCTCGGCTGGACAAGCAGGGCAAAGTGAATGCCTGGACCTCCGGCCACAATGACCAGTCACAATGGTTACAGGTAATATTTTCCAAAAATATATCAGTACCCACTGCTCCCCATCCTTAGAGGATTTCCTGTTTTTAGGTGAATGTTGGAATCATTACCTTCATACTGATTTAAAGGTGCCTTCTTCTTTGGCTTAACTAAATTGGTAAAACAAAAATTCCTTAGGAATCCATGTCCTCGTGTTATATTTGCTCTGGTGTTGATTTATGGATGTTCCTGTCAGACTGATGTAGCAGAGTGTACCAGACCACACTATGTATAGGTCAATTTGATTGATTATGAGAACATTTGCATTTTAACTCTCATCTTTTCTAATGCTTTGTGTCAGTCTTGGTTTGAAAGCATCACAGCAGGAATCCATACCGCCTTGAAATCATGCCACTGACCTGCAGCTTGTTCCCGTAGAATCATGACTCATGACTTATTAGCTCTTTACTGGTGGTTGGTAAGCAACTGAGCAATTTGATTACATTTTCATAAGAGGGCTTTATAGAAGGAAAGCATACACACTGCGGAGTGTGTTTATCATTTGCACGTGAGGTTAGGTTACAGTCAGTGCTTTTTAAGTCTTCTTAAAATGCACTTATGTGTGGAGTATTTATAAGTATGCACAAATTTGTTAATGTCTTCTGTGGCTAAGAAAAGTAAGACGGCTTATTTCCATAATGAGGTCTTTTTTTTTTTTGGAAAGCTATGAGTTCTCCTCTTACTGATTTTTAGGCTGCGTTTAAGAGTTTCAAAGATGTGGTAATTCATAGTATTTCTGGAAATCATGAAAATAATTAAAATCACAAATGTCGCCCTATATCAAAGCAGACTTGCCACACATGAAACTGTTCTTTCCAAGTGACCTGAAATTTCCAGTGGTCTCTTCTCAGTCTTTGCTTTCTTGGCCTTCATGTTCCCTAGTCTTATAGAAATAATCACTTTTTTCTTTACTTTCCCCTAACATTCTATCTGGAGCCTTACTGAGCTGAAGTTATATTAAGTTCTTTCGTTACCAGGCATTATAGATAATTACGTATGTCTTTCTCCTTTTCCTTTTCTATGAGCTTTGTGAGGATAGGCCATATATATGGAACACAAGATAGATTTGTCATCCCAGAACCCAGCCTCATGTCCTTGTCTTACAATGTAGCAGAGCTACTGAGTTAAATCATTCGTTTGACAAATGTTGTGATGCATGTAGGAAGCATCACATACTATGAAAAATAGTGATGGTGCCTGAGTGAGCAACACACCGTCATACTCCTAAGACATTACCTCTGTCATAGACCATTCCATTTATTTGGTGTGCATGGCATCATGCTTTGTCTCCCTTCATCCTTCTAGCTGCTGTGTCCCCTTGTCCTCCAGGCCACCCTTCCCCAGCCTGTGACCTTCCTGACAACCTCACTTTCACCAACTCCACACACTCACACTAACTCATCTAGCAAGTACTGGTAATTTCGACAACTGAAGAAAGGATTCAGTGACTTAAAAATCCTTTTCCCTTCTCACCACCCCCTCTGCCACTTCCAAGATCTACCACCCTCTTTCACCTGGGTTTTTGCAGAAGCCTTCCAACCAGGCTTCTGGTTTCTGGCCTTACTCTGTAAAAACCTATTTCCCAAATTGTAACCAGTGTGATTTTTTTTTTCTAAAATGTAAATGTGATTCTTTTGCTCCTTTTTTAAAAAGCTCTTCAACTGTTCCCTATCAGCCTCAGAATAAAGTGCCGATTCCTTAATGTAGCCTAAAAGTCTTTGCATGCTTGGCTGCATTTCAACTCTTACCACACTTCTGAATCTGCTTCAGTTGTTCCTTTATAAATGTCCTCTTCCTAGAGGAAACGATTGGAAAGACCCCTGCCCACAGCATCCCCAGCCTTCTGTTGGTTAAATCCCTCAAGTATAGTTTAGATGTACTTTCCTCTGGGAAGGCTTTGCTGCCACCTCCATCCCACAGCAAATCTGGCCTGAGTTGTCCCCTGGATATTACCGTGTCGTCTGTAATTCTCTCACTGTCATATTATCATGCTGTACTGGAAATGGTGTTTTCACACTAGATTATTTGCTCCAGAAGGGATGGAACCACATCTTTATTTTGTTTACTTTCTCAACCTCTTGTCTCATACCTAACTAAATACCTGTCACCACACCTGACATATGGTAGGCATTCAGTAAATACCGTTGAATGAAAGAATGAATGAATGGATTTCAGTATTATTCAAGTTAGTGATTTGGGCCTATACTGCCTATAATTTTGATCCCCAATTTAAGAGATCACCTGCTAGGATCCTAAAATTTTATTTTTTTTCAACATTTTTTATTGATTTATAATCATTTTACAATGTTGTGTCAAATTCCAGTGTTCAGCACAATTTTTCAGTCATTCATGGACATATACACACTCATTGTCATATTTTTTTCTCTGTGATTTATCATAACACTTTGTGTATATTTCCCTGTGCTATACAGTGTAATCTTGTTTATCTATTCTACAATTTTT